GTCTGTGGGAGAGAGAGCAGCTCTGTGTGTGTGTGTGTGTGTGTGTGTGTGTGTGTGTGACTACGTGTGTGTGTCTGTGTGTGTGTGTGTGTGTGTGTGTGTGTGTGTGTGTACGCACCAGGGAAGCAGCACCCTGAGGACAGCACAGCGCTGTAACAAAGTGGCTCAGTAGGGGGCTCCCTGATTCGCCAGCCCCTGGATACGCCTGGGGGGAGGAGGCACTGCGGAGATCTGACAGTGAAATTACATCGCAGCTGTCCTGTATCTCAGGGATGGGGGGGGGGAGCAGGGAGGGACCCTGAAGTGAAACTGGGAGTGTCTCATCACATAAGTCATTTGAAATTTAAAAGCCTCATTGTGATCCTCCAGAGCTGTCTACTGTTATTGGTGATAAAGATTTTCTTCTTTTTTTTTGGGTGGGGGAATTTAGCCTTTACCTTCTCCTCACACATAGATAAAGGGATTCCTGTTATTTGTTTTTTTTATTCCTTGGGTCTAGATGATCTGTGAAAATTGTGAAGCTATTTAAAATATCAGCATTTGCCTGCACTGTAGATGGTAAGGCTTGTGTCCAGCTTGCACGTCTCTTTCACGGCTGTTTGTAAGGCCGCCCTGCAGCGATCGCATCCTTCTCCTTGATAACAGGGTCTCTTAAGTCATGAAGCAAAACCTACTTTAACTGATGAATGAAAGATTGCTCTTCGTGTACAAATGACTGTTTTTGATTAGCGTGACTGTTGTTAGCCTCTTGGACAGGTATCTGGCTCCTGGCCTCACGCAACCCTGGACACGATAAGTAGTTATACAGTGGATCTCCGTTTTACTATGGAAAGATATTTTAGTATGTTCTTGAGCTGTGCTATTACAGTTCGGATGGTTATCCTTGTTATGTTGGTAGTCGAACTATTCAAATGGATTTTAATACTCATCATTATTTGTTGGATTGCTGATGGATCTGAATGGACAAGCTTTTTGAGGGTTGCCGGATGCATGCCGATTGGCCGGGTGCTTGGGTCAGGGCGGGACCAAAGGCCCGACAGGACGAGCTCCATTGGCTGTGTTGCGAAGGCCCAGTGTCGCCCAGCCAATACACAGGTGTTCTGACCTGTATGTCTTTCCAGGGCCAGATGGCCTCTGGCCAGGATGGTGGCAGAAACTTCATATTTTTGTAGGCTGGGGAATTTGCTGACTGATAGGACAGGAGAGGGTTATGTCTGCAGGAGGACCTGGGTGAGGACACTGTGTTCTGTGTAGACCAATGACAGACAGTGTAGGAATTACAGATCTACCAATTCTGCTTTTACATAGGGCTGGCTGACAAAGCGACAGTGATGCTTATCACAGTATCATTTCCCTTGATTTCAGTATAGCAAGTGCTGCTTCGAAATTCAGTATAACTTAAGGTCCAGCTTGCAGAATGCAGTAGGGCAGGCAGGCAGACGAAAGACAACAGTCAGGACAGCAGATCAACTAACTGGGAGAGCAGGTTAGTCCAAGGCAAGCCACCCAATAAGGGTAATCCAGTGAGATCCAAAGCGAAATTCCGCAGTATTAATCCACAGGAAATGCAAGTGTAGGCGTGTTGTCGACTAATAAAACCTGTTCAGCTTCTGCCTAAGATTTGTGAAATGTGACTGGCAAAATTAATCGTCTGATTTCTTCCACTTTCACTCAGGAGCGAAAATCAGCCTTTAAACTGGAAAGAAATAATGATTCGTGATAATTATCAATCTGAAAACATTTTTACTGTGATAACATCTTTGGCCATATTGGCCAGCCCTACTTGTACAACAGAATGATTTGTGGCTGTTTGACCCGGGTTCTCTTCTGTAAGGTGACTTTCCTATGAGTGTGTTTCTGTGCACTTAGGGGACCGTGTGACGGAAGCCGGTGATGTTCTCCTCCTGTGTGACATTAGCTCTCTGAAGATGTTAGCGTGGTGGTTAATGACCCACCTTGTGGTCACACCTTTTTTTTCCAAATATAATGTTTTGTATTTGTAATTAGTTTTCATAATTAAAGGACTCGGGCTTTACGCACGGTTGGTGTGGATGGAAAATTGTCATTTCACCCCCCCCCCAGAGTGTGCCGGGTAGCATTTTACACAATTATGAATTCTCTTCAGGCAGGTGTAGGTTAATCACATAATGCTTTAATTTCGGTTGAAAGCAGCACAGCAAGGGTTGGAACATAAGAACATAAGACAAACTTTTGTGTAGTACACTGTGTTCGTGTGTAATATCTTTGTGCACGTATGGATGCGTTTTATTGCCTTCGTCTGCTTGTCCCATTTGCGTGTACAGTGAACACGCCCTGAACACGGTTTTCTTCTGGTAACTGCATCATTCAGTGGATCCCAGTTTCACATGGTACTTTTTTTTTTTGTTCCCTCACAATATCCCACTGAGACGTGACCTGGATGCAGAAAGCGCCAGTAATAATGGAACCTCTGGGGTTTACGCTGGACAGCTGTTCTGGGTTTGGCCGTCAGCCCACAGTAGTAAGGTTGGATGTTGCTGAGAATTCGCTTTCTTTCACGCCCGGGAACGGCGTCCGCGCGGCACTGTGCGCCCCTGCCGCCGTCACGGGAGTCGGCCGGCATCTCCGGCACGCCCGCCCCCCCTGCGCTCTGGCTGATGTTTTTCTCCAAGACGCTCCATGAATGTCAATGTACTGCTGTCACACATGTGACGCATGTCCTGCAGATGAATGTTTTTCAAAGCGTGATGTTCCCTGCCACAGGAAAATCTGTTTGTAATAGCATTTTGGATACAGTGCATGGACAACAAAGGTTTTTGTTTAGGTCAAAATTGCCATTGACACGACCAGTATATCAGAATAGGGGTGTTTACATGACAGCAGTCATCCATATTTAAGCCCCTTCTGCTTAATTAGAGGACCTTGAAATTAATGCCAAACAGGTAGCAAGAGAAGTGAGATCTTTTATAACCGGTAATATAACAGGTAATATGGTCAAGTCTGTTCCGTTTTTTTTTCTTTCTTTTTTTTCTTTTAGCAGCGAAGTTTTGGATTCAGACAGCTCCAGACAGCCAGCTGTATTTCTCTAGAACCACAACTCTGCAAGATGTAGAGAATGCATTTTAATTGGCCCCAGTTGCACGCTTGAGTCACCCAGAGTATTATTTGATACACGAATAATTAGTCGAGTAATAGGATGGCACTATGAAACTGGCTTGCTGCTCTTACTGGGTCGCGCTGTTGGAGTCACCCGCGGGGGGCCGTCGCTTGCGGGGGGGGGGGGTCGTCGCTTGTGGGGCAGCCATCGCCGCAGCATCTTCTACCTAGGCCTGCTGGCTGATGAAACACCGCCTGAGGAGCCTCCATATGCTGCCATTTAGCTGTGCTTCTTAAACTGAGGCCCTTGGAGGATATCGGCCTTATGAAAAATGACCCATCGCTTTCGAAATGCTATGAAGCAGCTTAACCAGATGCAAAGTAACTGTGTTCACTGCACATCTGCAAAGGAGTGCAAGTTTCATCCTTAAGACTTTATCGTGAAAAGGAATTCCACCCAGAATTGTATATTAAAAAAAAAAGTTTATTTTATTCTCCTACAGTTTCCAAAGGAAATTGAATTCGATGTAATTTAAATGGAGAATTGTCCTATGATATCCATATAATTATCCACAAACTGACATCACTTCTGCTGGAAGTCTGGGGAGTGAAATTTGTGCTCTTCAGTTTAAATTGCTGATTTCAGTACCACAAGCATCTGCATATATTTATGGGTTTTGTAAGATAAATTGTTTGACGTGTTACAATCAACATTTCTGTAATGTTTAGTAGCCTGTGTTGGGTTGGCGCCCCACCCTGGGTGGTTCCCTGCCTTTTGCCCGTAGCCTCCGGGAAAGGACCAAGTTTTTGCTCCCACCGCAAGCCGGGAGGGTGTTTGGAGGGAGCAAAAACAGGGCTGACTGTGGCTTCCCAAGGACCAGACTGGGAATCGCTGTGCACTGAATGATGGACGTAAAGAGGGCAGCTGTACCGCTTTCCTGCTTAAACATAATTGGCCTTGTATGGAAATCTGCAGGCACTCTGAGATGATGCCCTGAATGCCTGAAACCTAATACAAACATGGTAAATACAGGCAGACCTTCACAATCCTGATCTAATCCCCTGTTGTTCATTTCTTCTGAAATGTTTATGCCTTATTAAATCAGTTGGGACACGCTGCCTCCAACGCAAGAAAAGACCAAAAATAATATTATCAGTAATGCGCTTTGAAGATGCATAGGTTTATGTTTTACTCCACCAGTTGCCCTGAAATTAAATAAGCTATTTGTGCTGCCGTGGCAACAGGAAGAAGTCAACCCTTTGTGCACATATGGTATTTGCGTTGTGTTGGACACATATTGGAATGACCAGTAAAAAGCGGGTGTGGTTAGCCTTCAACCTTACCAGGAATACAGCCCTGCTGCTGGTAAGGTCATAATCCCATAACTTTACTCCTCAAAGCCAGAGCATTTAAGTCATAACCAGCAGATCACGCAGTGGAGAAACAAGGGCTTGTAGAGAAACAAGGGCTTGACATTATTTTCAGTATTTAAGTGCCGTCCTTTCAGTTTGTCCACAAAAGTCTTGCTAAAGATAAAACTGTTGAACTGTGGTGTTTAATTCAAATCTGTGTAATACGGCAACATTCCTAAACAGTGTCCTTCAGATTCTTACTGAGCAGAAGTAATAAGGTATGTTTTTTAACAAAAGAAATTGTCTTGGCATGGTAAAGTATTCCTACGGGTAGTGCCCTTGTTAACTAGAGAATGTTTCTTTCTATTTTAATCTCTTGTTCGTATCTCACAGCTCTTTTTATTGCTTGTAAAATGATTCATGTTTTAATAAACACAAGCACTTTTAAATTTTTCATGTGTCTGATATGCCTCTCGCTTTATGTCGTACAGGCTTCATCGCAGCAGTTGAAATTCACAACATCGGACTCCTGTGATCGGATCAAGGATGAGTTCCAGTTCCTTCAAGCACAGTACCACAGGTGGGTGGTGAGTGAGCCCTGCCTTTCTGTGGAGTGCTGCTCTCTATGTGGCTTCTTCCTGGGCGCCGAAGCCAGGTGGGACTGATGAAACCATGAAACGCGCCTTGATGATCCTCGATTTACATGTTGTTACATTTATTATGGTGGTGTTGGTGGGCTTCAAACCACATGTGACCCTGACCAGGATATGCGATGGATGGATGGATGGATGTTGACTTGTTTCCTGTGTCTTCAGTGCATATAATAGGTTCAGTCAAAAACCAGAACCTTCAAATGGCACTATGTATATATATCCACCATGACCGCCTTATCTTAGGATTTTAGCCTTCATTGGAATTTAAATAACTAAAACGGACTCAGCGGTCTCCTCGTCATTCATCGCTGTTTCTTCAGAGAAGCATTTAATTGTTTCACTTTATCTGAAGTTGGGTCTTGCAGAGCTTTGCTGCCCCTTTATTACGGCGGTGCACGTGTGAACGGCGGGAGCGGTGTGTGCGGGAGCGGAGCGGGCGGGAGAGATTTTTCCTGCGGCACATGGGACCCGTCTTCCCGCCGTTCTCTGCCACTTCGCAGCTCGCTAAGGTTCCCCTTTGCGTTTAAGCTGCAGCGACCTGTCGAGGCCAACCATCATTACGAGGCCTGCTGGCGCGGTTCTGACACGGACCCGCAAAAGCCTGGCTCATAATTTAAGGATGTTTTCTCTTCCCCTCTTGGCCTCGCTGGCCTCTCACTCTCAGCAGCTGCTTCATGGTCTTATGAGAAGCCTACATCTAAACCCCCTTCAGTGAGCAGAAGATGCTCCTTTCTGCATCTTCTCCTCCTCCATTTTAATGTGGCCCATTCGGATGCTACCTCCAGCTGGTAGAATGAAATGCCTGAAACAGGACCTTGTACCAGCATTTTACTGTAGTAAATGGAAGGAATGGAATAACAAGAGCAAGTAAAAATATAGTGGAGGGACATTAGTGCTCGAAAGTCCGGGAGCCTGTTTCTGTGCCACGCAGTTGCGCCCCACGCTAGACACAGGTAATATTGCCGGAGCGGGCACAGGTTGGCATGGCAACAACAATGCATGCAGTCGGTGCTTCCAAAGCGAGGGAGCGATTATGAGGGGTCGGCAGACTGAGGGAACGTTCCGGGGCAGAGCTCAACCAGCACGCACACTTACGCTACAGCATCCTGCAGTATGTCCGACCGGGAAAATATTTGCTCAAGTTACGCTGATAGCCTACAGCTTATTTACCGGTAAGAGGATGGGAGACGTCTCAGGCCGGTCTTAAGTGCATCATTCATACATGAGTATAACTTCCATCCATCTTCCAGCTGCTTGCCGAGGAGAGGGCCTGCGGTTATTTATATTATTATGTTTATTGTGACCCTGTACAAGATAAGCAGCATGGAAGATGGATGAAAGGGTGCAATAATGTAAATAATAGAGAATTACAATATGTGCACATGAACAAACGCAGCCTTTCCAGTAGATCCACAGCCAGAATATTGAATATTAATGCCACCATTTTAGTGATAAATGGGAGAGTTCGCTGTGCATTGTTTCCTCTCCATTTGTTTTTAATAACCGCCTACTCGGGTAGGTCCACAGCGGGCTGGAGTCTCTGTGCGGGACCAGGCAGCGCGCCCAGGCTAAGGGCCGTCAGGGACATAAATGACCCGTTTGGACCTGGAGAAGTGTGAGCGGCAGAGGCGGAAGCAAGGCCGGACGTGGCCCGCCTGCGTAGGATGCGTTCGTGTGCTTTTGTTAAATGCAGTGTATATTCTTAAATGTCTATTGTCACCTTTGTCACCGTCATTAGAAAGCCAGAAAGAATGTTCAGTGACTTATCACCCTTCCTCCCCCCAGTCATTTCAGTTACTGCTCTCGTTCTGATTTTATGCAAAAGCACGGAATCTGGTCCTGGGTCTCCTTAATTTTTTTAAAGACAGAAATTGTTGTTAATTTTTTTTTTTTTTTTGAAAGGGTTGAGGTGAGGTTTTGCTGAGGTATACGGAACGCTTATCTGGACAGTTCTGTCAGTCGATAGACCTGGATTTCGAGATGACAGGCACCTGAGGATGTAAACATCGTTGTGTGATGCAGTGCGTGGGAGACGGGCAGGCAGGGAGGGCAGCGAATAGGCCCGCCCCTCTGCGGTGCCCCTCGCCCAGGGTCTGTCTCTGGCGGGATCGTAAGGCGCTTGGCGGATGAGACGTCCTTCAGTGCGGATTGGGCGCCTGGGGCCACATCTGACTGTGAATCTCTCCTCTCCTCACCTGCAGCTTAAAGCTGGAATGCGACAAGCTCGCCACTGAGAAGTCTGAGATGCAGCGCCATTACATAATGGTGGGTGTGAGGCGCCTGCTCCGGCGAGCTCTCTTTCTGGCTCCCTCTCCTCCCGTGTCTCCGTGCCTCTTTCCTCCTCCTGCTCCTCCTCCTGCGCCAGCCAGCCTCCTCTCTAATCTCATTGTCTCCGGTCGTGTTCATGCAGCCGCCTGACACTGCGCCTCTAATTGACCCGTCTGCAGGCTTAATCTCCCTTAATCTCAGCCACGTCGCACTTAAATCCATCAGACCCCCCCCCACAGGCCCCGCCCGCTGCCGCCCCTAATTGCCTATCGGGTTTGCACTCTGCCGGCTCGGAAATGGGGGCGGCCGTTTCTGGAGGCTGTAATTGCCTCGGGGACATGCCAATGCACTCCCACCCTGCGCCTCTTCTCTGGCTGTTTCTAACACCCCTCGTCCCACACACAGCGGCGGGGGGAGCCTGTTTTAGGAGACCCCGATCCGTGCATCAGAAAAATAGGAGAGATTTACAGCTGTGAGCAAAGTTTGTCTAAATTTCTGCATGGATGACTCCTAAAATGAGATCTAAACAATAATTATAATATTAATAAAACTCAATGATAATATTAACCAACACACAGCTGTGCAGATATAAGCTGCTATAGCGATTAGAGAACAGGGCTCGTTATGTTTGAAATCTGATTCCCTGCCCTTAACCATGTGTCCCTCATGTACTTCCAAGAATAATATCACAAATATGTATGAAACATGGAATAACCTATTGGAACTTATTCCTACAGTACTATGAAATGTCATACGGACTGAACATTGAGATGCACAAACAGGTAAGTCATTTTTAAGCTTGCATGTTTTCATGATGTCGGGGCAACAGTTAAGTCTCCAAGTGTGCTGATGTAATATCAGAATGAAGAGGTGTCGGTGTCGGACATGTCGGTTCGCTGTCAAGTGATAATTTGTGCCAGCAGCGTACAAGTGCCTGTTAGGCCAGTAGCAGTATAAACCTGTCCAGCAGAGGGCAGGAGACCTCCGGCTATGTCATGACAGGCTGGCGCCTGAGCCGACTGTCAGATACTGGGGGCCACAGCAAGGTACGCTGAGCGACATGTCCCCTGCGGGCTGCAGTCTGGCTTCTCGCTGCCGCAGCTGAGATGGCGAGCCTGTGCTGATTATCCATACTGCCCCCGTATCTGACATTTATGAAACACGGTGGGGGGGGAGGGGGGGCAGCCTATTGTGCAGAAGACAGGGTTGTGTCTTGGCACAGGGGAAAGAGAGAGAGAGAGAGAGAGAGAGAGGCAGCGGTGCAGGAAGGTGATTGCTGGTGGTTCAGCAATTTGCCGAATTCATACGTTTTACCCATAATCCTCTGCTGCAGCCGTTCACCCGCCAATCCCCATCCTTTCACGCCCCTTGTTTAAAAGTGGGCTTGTGCGACAGGAAGGCGCTGCAGTGCCATCTCTGCTCCTAACGACGGGTGGTTCATTACTGTGAGGGCTGCTCTCCTTGCTGCGTCTGACTGCATTTGCCCGTGTATTAGTGGGTAGCGTGGTGTTTAATTCAGTTGAATTCAATTTATTTTTCTATAACGCCTTTCATGGCAGAGTCATCCCAAGGCGCTTAACATTGATGTGTTGTGATACATGTGTAAGGGCAAGAGCTTGCAGCCTGAAGGTGGCTGGATCAGGGCCGAGGGGACACCGTCAACCCAAATGACTGCCTGGATATGTCTCCCTAGATAAAAGGCTGACTTGTCCCTTAGACAGTGGGTTAGCCGATCAGCTGAAATGTAATGTGCTGTCCTGTCTGGTGCAGGCGGAGATCGTGAAGAGACTGAACGCGATCTGTGCTCAGGTGCTTCCCTACCTGTCGCAAGAGGTAAGAGAGGCTGCAGAAGGCTCCACAGCCTGTGCTGTGTGTCGTGGCCTCTTGGGGGCAGCATTGCAATGAGTGTGTGTGTGTGTTTACATAGATCACATTTGAGGACCAAATTGTCCCCAAAGTGCAGTAAAACCTGAAATGTCCCTACTTTTGGGGACATCTTTTGAGGTCCCCATTTGGATAACCTCAGTTTTATAAAAATCTGTGAATGCATTCAAAAAAGTAAAAATGTCAAAAGTCTCATATTTAGTTTGGTTACTTATGGTTAGGGTTAGGGCTGGGTAGGGGCTAAGGTTGCCATGTTGGGATTAGGGTTTTTCCCATAGAAATGAATGGAGAGTCCCCACAAAAGTATAATTACAGACCCGTGTGTGTGGTTGTCAGTTAGCCGCTGATGTGAAATGCTTGCTTGCTGGCTCTTCACCGATTGTCCCTCCCCAACTCAGTCTGTGTGTATTCACATCCCCTCCCTCTGCTTCACCTCTGTCTCAGCATCAGCAGCAGGTACTGGGGGCCATCGAGAGAGCCAAGCAGGTCACTCCTCCGGAAATGAACTCCATCATCCGGGTACGCTACTCTGTCTCTCTCAAGCGGAGAGAGCTTCCTGGGGGGGGGGGGGGGCATCCAGGCTGCAGCTGCAGTTCTGCTTGATTTTATTCGGCTCTTTATGCTGTTTTGTTGTTCTGGGTGCCGCTTCCTTTTCTGTGCGTACTGCTTAAAGCACGGCGGTTTGGCTCTACTGCGATAGTCCATCTCTGTACCTGGGGGGGGGTGATATTCCATCTGTATACCAGGGCGGTGATAGTTCATCTCTATTGCTGAGGTGGGGTGGGGGGATAGCCCATCTCTATTGGTTGCAGAGATAGTCCTTCTGTATTGCTGGGGGGGGGGGCTTGGGTGTGTTCATGTTCCCTCCCCTCCTAAGTCGTGGCTTTGTGTCACCCGCAGCAGCAGCTCCAGGCCCACCAGCTCTCTCAGCTCCAGGGCCTGGCCCTCCCGATGACCCCCCTCCCGCTGGGCCTCAGCCAGCCCGGCCTGCCCCCTGTCACCTCCAGCTCTGGACTCTTCTCCCTCTCCAGCATCCTGGCCTCGCAGGCCCAGTTGGCTAAAGACGAGAAGGCCACCCGCGACGGGGCAGACGGCCACCGTGACGAAGACGGCGACAAGTCGGACTGATCCACAGCTGCCTGGCTTTGGGGGAGGGGGGGGGGCAGGGCTCTGCTCCCCCCCCCCTCCTCCTGCTCGCTGTCTCTCTGCTGCTGTCGTCTCCTGCTCACCTTTTCCTTTCTTTTAAATTTAATTTTTCCTTCAAATTTCATTTCTTGCTCGCATTTATACTTTTTTTTTCCGTTCAGCCGGCTACTCTGGGGACGCCCCCCCCCCCCGCCGCCGCCGCCAGCTGCATTAGCTTTGGCCTCCGCTGCTGGTTTTTAATTCTGATTGGCTGGCCTCCTCCCTGCACTTCCTTCCTGGTGCTGCTGTAGGCAGGACCTCCCTGCCTTAGCACATGTGGAGCCCATGCTTACAGCAGTAAGCCTAATAATGCATAATAATAAAGAATAGTGAATAAAACAGAAGGTTAATCACGCATCAGCCAATATTTTAAGAAAAGGGGTCAAATTAGCTTCATCTTTTAAAAGCTCCTGTATATTAGGTGTGTTCTTGGTTTAAGTGTTTTGGTTTGATCACAGCGCATTCAGGTACTCGCTCTCTTAACGTCTGCTTGTGACGTGAAGGAGAATCAGGCCTCCACTCCGGCTGTTTTGTAGGACACCCCTGACCCCCCGACCCGCTGGAGATTCAAATACAGAAGCTAACAAACCAGGGGGCTCAATTTGGCCGAGGCAGTTCAGTCGCCGACGTGCGTCTGATCAAAATATCCATAAGATGAAAAACACCTTTTAGCTGCATTTTACTGCCTCCTTTGTTTCTTTGTGTCGTTCCATCGTACTAAACTAACAAGAGACCCCAATGTTTTTACTTTAAAAGGATGGAAATTACTGTAGAGAGAGAGAGAGAGAGAAAGTTCAGCAGTGGTGTGAAAAATGACTGGATGCAACACTGTAAGTTTTGTCACAAAACAAGAAAAATCATAACACGTGATTATTTTTTTTGTATATATAAAGCACTTAAAGGTTTTCTTTCTGTTATGGAAATGGGGTGGGGGGTGAAGCACTTTGGCGCTGACCAAGGCAGAGGGGTTGTGGTGTCCTGGTAGGTGGGCATACTGCTATACTGTATAATTGTGTGTACGCACTTCTCCTCTGATTGATACACATTTCTCGCTATTTTGGTAAATCCATTTCTTACATGTGGGTGTGCACCACAGGCCTGCGTACTCACCGCTACGGCTCTGGGCTGGGGTATCAGTTTTCATCCCAACTTTGAAAAATCCTCTAACTTTCAGGAAAGGTTAATTTCCTGTCTAACTAGTTCTCCGTACATAAACATTCCACAAAATTCCACAACATGATTTTTTTTTTAAACTGTCCCCAGTTACCATGGGAACATGCCTGAAAATACTGGATTTGTAGTAAAATGAAAGTCCATGTGATTTGCTTTATTTTATTGCAAGAATTGGCCTTATCTTGCCTTTCACTGAGTTTTGGTTTAATTCTTACAATCAGTTGAAGCATAGATTTGCCATTAGCTTTTTCTGTGTGTTTGGAGGATATTTGATATCTCATCCAGTTAACATGGACTGTAATCGCATGGTACTTTATATTTTCCATGTTAAGACTCATCATGGAAAGAAGATGGTACTAAGATCATGAGATGATTTACTACACGGAGGAAATAAGCACTATATTGCTTTGTGGTGCAAGATTTTCGTGAGACAGTATTCTTCATTCTTCAAAAAAATGATACTCTGTTCACAAGGACCCACAACGGGAGCGTTAATTTTTTTGTAGGACTGTAACAGCACCGGAACATATATATAAAAACAATGACACGGACATTCCTTCTTCACTTCTGACATCCTGGTTCAAATTCCTTATAAGTATTCAGTATCTTAGGTGCAGTAATTTTGCATGTATTTAGAACTACAGAGAAATTGCCACGGTAAATGTTACGGTGACCTAGTTTTAAATTGGCCACTGTCTTATGTGTACATTTATTTGTGCGTGTATGAATGTGAACACGCTGTACCTGGTATGTGTGAGATTAGCCCGAATAATCAAACTAACTGCTAAGTTACCTTGGACAGGAATAACTGCATTCAGGTGTGGTCTCTGTGTAGAAGTGTAAGGCGGTGCCATTATTTAAATAGCAGAACACGAATCCCTACTAGAGTTGTGATTTACCTTTGTATTCTGAGTCGGTCGTGTCCCATCTGTGAGGTGTTAAAGTATTAAATGTATGAACTACAAAGAAAGCAGGACAATGTAAGACTCAGAGATATGAACGGTATCTACTGTACGTGTTGTGAAGAGGCATCTTATGTACTCAGATATACATATAAAGCAGAAGATTGTGTGCGTCCTGACAGCATCTGTAGTATCCGTTTTTATGAATGGATGTATTGTACTGCAGCATCACCGTGGTGCCGGAAAATGACGACGGCACCGAGGAGAACCTGCATTCTCTGCGTCCCTTTCTGGTTCCCCCCCCCCCCCCCGCTTGCACATCCTCTCTTTTGATACCATTGCATAGATCTGCGCGAAGGCCATTCTCATTCTTATTTAGTGATGTATGTAAGCTCTTTAACTCTGTACTTCTGCAAGTAATTATGTTTAGTGTTACAAAGACAACATGTCCATTTTAAAATGAGGTGTGGATACAACTTTTGAAACGGTTTGATAATGATTTAAGTGACTCGAAAGTTCTGCAGTAAGGAAATATTTATGGTGCCTTACAAATAAAACAGTGGAATCAACTTTTGCGTATGTGTGGTTTAAGGTCTCGAAATGTAGTGTTAAATGTGACAAAGTGGCATTTCTATTGCAGGATAAATTGGTGTGTGAAAGCTAAGAATTGGAGCTCATTTTGGAGATTTCCGTACTTTATACTGTTTGTTTTCCACAGATTCATTTTAAATCTTGAACACAAGTGAATGATGCTTGGGAAATTATTGGTGTCCAGATGTTTGACATCATGTTCCTGCTTGTGGCCTGTTTTTCACGGTCTTAACCTTGAAAGTATCGGCCATAGAACCTGGTGTGATCGTGTCACAGTCATTTCACACATTTATTTCATTCTCCACTTCTTCCATATTACATCAACAAATAAAAACAAATACACATCTAGATTGGCTTAAGCAGTTTGGAGACTAAGCCTCCACAGCATTGTTGAAGCCTTATCTGCGTAAATCAGTAAACCTTATTCTACGTGATGGAGAGCTCCCCAATTGCTGACTGGGTACCACATATTAATTAAGAAGTGCGAAAACGGTGATGTCGTGCACATTCGTATCTGATGTAATCGTTAATAAGGCAAACATGACATTAATGTATCCATCCATTTCCTAATTGTTTATCCAGTAGAGGACTGCAGTCTGGGGCAGGGGTGAGAAGGATGCTTGTCTGTTGTGGACATAGACACAGGAAAACACTGTAGGCTATTCCGTGACTCAGATTCACCTGATCGTGTGTCCAAGGACTGCAGGAGGAATCGCGCGCGACACAGAGAGATCGTACAAACTCCCCATACGACAGAGGCTTTGGATGTATGAGAGCGGGGTTGCCAGCTTGAGATCATTTAGTTTTGCAGAAATCCACCCTTTGTTAATAAAGTCGGCCTCCCCACACCCGTAGACACTCACCTCATTAACAATGTGGGGATTTCGTTTCTCAGATCTTAAATAAACATGAACGTGCTGAAATCGGTTGTTATTCCAGACGAGTCTTTGGCAGCGGACGCAGATTTCAAACGGCTCCTTTAGGGACCTGTAATGCTTTACAGCAGGTAGGCTGAAGTGGCCTTTGAAGACAGACTATATCTAAATAGAATTTTGTTTAGGACTGTATGTCTACAGATGTTGTATACATAGTGCAAATGGATCACAGGAATAGGGTTAGAAATATTTACGAGGTAAAGACACTAAAAAAGCCTTACCATCCAGGGCCTTGTCCTACCTTGTTCTCTAGGGGAGTCGTTGCAGGTAAGATGGACGGATGTATAGGCAGCTTACAGGTTCAAAAACCACCAATAACCTGACAAATAAAGGCTACGCAAATTGGAAAACCTCGTCCTTCAGGGAGCTTCAAACTCAGCAAAAAACATGGAGTTCACATTGTTTCCACAGGAGGGGAGTATTGATTTAGGAACAACATAAGTAATCTTTCATTTGACGGTACACTTGTATTGACGATATGCACGTATACAGTATATGGGCAATCCAAGCGATGTTTTCTTTTCGCCATAATATGATTGAAGTCACGTTTTTGAAAGTGTGCCATGACACACCTCGACACCGTCCACATTACATCTCCAGCACACGCACACACAATATTTTGCGGCGAGTGACGTCCAGATGCCCTATTCTGGAATGGCGCCACCTGTGGTTTGGCTGTCGCACTCGCAGCGCTCACCACCCCTCTCCGCATCTCCACATCCGTCTGACGCTCCCTGTCCCTGGATCCGCGCCCGGTGGAGCAGCCCCCCCCCCCGGTTTCAGGTCCTGGCTCCTCTCGGCGGCGCTGGTGCGCTGCGGCTTTTCCGGTGATACGGCAGATTGTGTGTTTATGCCTCAGAAACCCTGCAAATTGTCTTGGATGAAGATGTCAGGCCCAGAACACCACAGCCGTCACGAGGGTGGAGGAGACACCGTCGGAGTACACAAAGGGCGCGGAGGAGAGGACACGGTGCGGTTCCGCCATCGACGTCCATCTCCCTCTTACTACACACAATGCTCTTTAATTTCTAACCAACGTCAAATGGGACTGAGTAGTGAGATGCTCCTTGATTAGGCATGATTGACTCATTCAGGGCCATTGCTGTTCCCCCCCCGCTCCCCATAATGGCTTGATTATAGAGACGTTCCCTTTGGTGGAGGCAATACACACTGTGCTGTTTTATTCCCAGGGAGCATGAGCTGTCAACCCCCCCGCCCCCTCTCCCCCTCCCGCGCTCGTCTCTCTCCACACTGCCTGTACTGCTCTCTTTTGTTCCAGCCACCCCCATGACAGTTTTCACCCCTGATGTGCAGCCCCTTCCTCTTTTCATTAGCCCCCATTTCCTTTCTGTGCTGCTCTTTCTGCATCAGCACACAATTGTGGAACGTGAAAGGATTGTACGGGCCACACCTGTTGATGGGACCCCCTTTTCAGGCTATGCATGACACATATGTGCTTGTATGTACCTGATAAACATCTCTCTCTCTCTCTCTCTCTCTCCAATTTGTAAAATCTGGAGCTTTTTTCATTTCATAGTGAATTTCATCAAGTTGATCTCAATGTTAGAGCCGGAGTTCTGTCGGGGAAACACTAGTAGGGGTTAGCTGTAAACAAGGGTTGTGGTTAATCCCTTTGAGTCAAATCAGGAGTCAGAATCCGCTTGTGTAGAATCCAAAAGTCAGTCTTTTATTGCATCCATAAGGGGTTACAACCAAAGCTGGGCAGTAGTGTGGCCCGTTGCATATTACGCTGATTTTTATACACTTTCCATATCTCTTATCGAGATATTCATCACAGCGGATGTTCCAGACATTATCCAATTACAATCACTGTGCTTCCCTTTCCGGGCCCAGAGTCTATCTTCTTATTAGGGTTCTAATGATTGCATTCTCTACTTGTGAAACAGTCCTATATGACATTCCATACAAGTAGATCCAGCCCTCAATGTAATCCACACTTTTCCTGTTCCACCTTCTAACTCAGCCAAAATGATATTCCTACACACTGTTCCTCAGCCAACAGCATACACCTGCGAGGCTATGGAACGACGGCATCTCTCTCTCCCTTGCAGCATCTGAACCCGTGGCAATACTGCCCTGGTTCTCAGCCCCCTGCTCACCACTTTCAGTGCAGGGTAGCTGATTTTTCCCCCCTCCCCTTCAACCTGTATCACCACCTCATTCACCAGCAATAGTATAATACATGCTTCCACGATGGCACCAGTGACATTTTGAAACTCCACGCCTCGCTGTGCCATCTGGCGTCCGCTGTCCTCCAGCTAGCTGCGAGCTTCCCAGTGCACGCCGCACTGCTGGCAGGCTTTCTGCGATTGGTGGGCAGGGCAGGAGAGATCAGAATAGGCGGAGATCTCCCTAATGGGGGTGTGTTTACGAAAAGCATGTTCCGTCCAGATCGTTATCATTTACTCATCCGGCTGCTACCGCTATCTAGCCAAGCCTTTGAAGTATGAAAACATCTCTGTCATGCTAGCACAATATCGCAGCACTACAAGGATTCATATTTCTACTAACTCAGATTAGTTCAATAATGGTACAGTGGTTACAATTCACAATAAAAAGAGTGATCGTGGAGTTGAGGACGATGTCTGGGCCACATGGTACATTATTCTGGTGACACGCTGTTCCTCCGCTGGTGACGGCTGTTCCTCCATCCCGGACAAGCTGTCTCCGCCACAAGACCGCGGCTGCTTCGGGAGTGACATGTGGTTGACCGACGGTAGCTGAGCCCCGCCGCTGCGGTCACTGCTCTCCAACTCCCGCGCCCTCTGAGGCCAGGCCGTGGGATGGTGTGTTGGCTGGCATCTCGACTCGCTCTGGTGACAACACTGTGGTTCTGGCAGTGAGCGCAGTGCACAGAGAGCGCCGACCGCCGCGGCCTCCAGTGTATCGTGTAATGGGCTTTAGACCACCGCAGAAAACGGCCGAGGCAATACTGGTGTCTCACAAAAGAGCAAGAGAGTGCTGGTGGCTGTGATTGGCCATAGGATTGGTAGAAGTACGATGGAGGGCGTCGGACTGGTTTCCTCCCCAGTCTATGCGCCTGATTTTAATGGAAAAAGCTAATAAATCTGGTTGCCTTCAGCCCTCTTCAATCCCAGCCCTGCTTGGTACAGCAGCATAAAACGCTCCACTTAAACAAACCAAATGCTGCTGCTCTGAAATACTGGAGAACTAACGTGCTAAGATGCTAGGCTAGGATAGAAGGGAAATATAGAGAAACATAGATTGAAAACATTACCGCTTAGGCTCCATGCTGTAAACATTGCCAGGTTGTTCCAACTATCCACCAGATGGTGTCATTTGGCCAGCTAACAACATTTCCCAGCGGTTCCCCTTCAATCTCACCCCTCCTCCACTTTGTTTGTCTGCTACCCTGTTTATTTTCCACCACATTTTATTTCTCTCGCTTTGTTTTAGGCAGCATGCAATATGTTAAGTAAGCGACTCAGATTATATGTTATTACTGGAAGGTAACATATGGATATTATTTTGCCATAGATCGCCTGACAAAAAGTGACTTTATATTCTGAAATTTCTTGTTGTGTGGTGTGTGGGTGTATGTGACTGGCGGGTCGGGGAGGTTAATGTTGTCAGTAATGGGCTGCAGTCCCAGATGGAGGTTTTTTAGCTGCTGAACTTAATTGGCATGACACAGCCCAGGCAGTGAGCCAGACCAGCCATTCCACAGCTGTAAAGGGGCAGAGAGAACGAAAGGCGGAGACGGAGGGACAGACGAAGAAAGCTACCCCACCCATGTTTACCGTTTGTGTCCCTACCTACCTGCTCCTCCGACTGACACGCCAAGGCCGGGTTCTGTAAAAGATTCTTAATCGTAAATAATTTATTGACGATAAATATATAATTTCGGAAATTCAGTGTAATCAATTATCGGCAGTCGTGAGAGTCTGGCGATTTTTAGATGGACTGTTTATAATCAAGAGTAATTTACTTTTCCTCCATGGAATATATGAGTCCAACACCCACGTTGACTGTTTCAAGAAGGCAGGCCTCAGTGACTGATACTTTGTGTCAGGTGATTGACATCTGGTGACTGAGAGCTAATAACTGATGCCTTCTCTGGGAAGTTTGATCTATGTGCACTAGCAAGGGAGTAACTTTAGGCTGAACATTGGGGGAGTTCAAGTCTCCACCCATTTTATGATTATTGAAGGTGGTATAATACCCACGCCCTTGTGATTTATGCCCATGCATACTAGACATTTAAGGCATAAGATGGTCTTTCTTCCATCAGTTGGACTCTTCTCAGATCTTCCTGAGATATTTTTATTCCAGATATATTATCTCCCCAATCTCTTTGATGGCCCCATCCTTGGCCTCGTTGTTGTATCTGCAATACCACCATTTTCTCAGAGCCCTCATTATGTGCTGTGAGATTTTATCGTTATAAAGCGACAAAACCTGTAGTTTAATTTGCCTCCTGCTATGTAAAGGTCCACTGACTAAGACTTTCATATCTGCTGTAATAACTCATTCCAGGTGACCTATCAGGATTTTTCCATCTGAGTTCCTTGATATTCCAGAACATGTAGTGAACGTGAGAAACCTACTCGCATCTCCCAAAGTGCTGATGCCTGGTGTTTCTTCAACTCACTACGATTATGTGCCTGTTCATTTTCGTCTGTGGCACCGTCATTACTCCACGTAATCGGCGCATAAGTTCTCGAAGTTTCCAAAAAGCCTTTTCTTTGAACCCGTGTAGCTGGTACATCTGACTTCTGCAAACTCACTGTTTTTGGGATTAGTGCCAGGTGATGGTGCAGTTAATTAATAACAGTCACCATTTGCATGGATTACATGTATTAGTACAATTACCTTTTATCTTTTGGTGTAACTGACAGACTTCCAGTTTAACATACATGCCAACATGTTATTGAAACTATATGAACAGGTAAGTGATGATTGTAATCAGGCACCAAATGCTTCTGTGAAGCATCACAAATCCCATTAATGACTGAGTATTTAAGGGTCATTTAACACATGTCTCTATGTTATCATTCACTAACCTGTCTGTGAAGCTCCAGGTCAGTTTGTTGACAGCAGCCTTGGGTCTCCTGACCACTCTGTGTCTTCCTCGCTCCTGTGTTAGATATCCTGCTAGACGCGTGTTCCTGTCCAGACCCTCACAGGTGCTCAGTGCAGTCAGAAGGCAGATTAGCTGAGATTTCAGCCTGTGTGACATTCTGGGTCAGCGTCACACATCTCTGTATATGTTGTGCATAGAAGCATTTATAAACTCTGTTTTCTGCTTGTCATGCTCCTGTATTTACACAAAACATTCACCTTGAGTGTTCAAATAAAAACAGGATGCAGTGTTTGGCTTTGTGAGTTAAAATGCATGTTGTATCATTAGTATTATAAGGTCAGCTCAGTGAGTAGCATGTGGCCTTAGATCTGTAGGATTTGGGTTCAAATCTCGACATTATTTTAACGATAGCGCATATTGTCAGATTCTTGTGTGACTCAGTAGGTTAGGACCCTGCCTGCGAGCGATAGATTGCTGCTTCAAATCCCATGGCTGGCAGATTGATGTGCAAGGCACTAAACCCCAATTTTGTCCAGGGGTGCTTCATGCTGACTGACCCTATACTATGGAATCCCCTCCACCCCCCCGCCACAAAAAAAAAACTTACTCTCACCTGTATATGTGTTTAGAGCAAGACAGGAGGGGTGAAAAGACAATTTCCCCACAGGCATGAATAAAGTATCTATTAAAGTATTATCTTTAAGTATAAGCTTGAGGCTCGGTAATTGTCTTGATACTGTTGACATGTATTTGATTATCTATATCATAATGAAGCAAAGCTAACCATATTGCTGTCTGCATTACAGCTCACACCAGGCAGCAGGTTGTATAGCGGTTTGCTGCTGCCTCATGCCTACAGTATCGGGGGTGTGAATGTTCTACCTGGATTGTGCGGGTTTCCTCCTGGAAACATGCAGTTAATTGGGGTCTCTAAAGACCCCATAGTGTGTGAAGGTCTGGCATTCCATCTAGGGTGTATTGCTGCCTTGTGCTCAATACTTCATGGGATTGACAGTGACCCTGTATTGGATGTGTGGAAGGGCATAACTTTGGGTTGAGCATTAGCGGAGTTGAGGTCTCCACCCATTTAAGGGGGTCCTGGGGGTTGTATTGGCTGGTTTTTATTATTAGAGGGGTTCCAATAATTTACGCCCATGGATAAGCCGTTAGAAGGAGTATTACTACAGCACACAGGGAAACTGCAGGACAGCCCGACTGAGCTGTCTTCCTGATGTGTAGCGCGACACATTACATATGAGGACGTGAGCAAGACAGCACGTCAGCTGCTAAAGACAGAGCAAAGCCCAGGAGCACTTTGTCCAGTTTTATTTTGGACTCACTTCCTGTGGCATCTTTCACCTCCCTGTCATTATGCAGCACGGCATCACACTGAAACACGGAGACCGACCCCAAAGCTCGCAACCCAACATCCTGTCAGCGGGACACATCTAATTAAGAGTTATAAAAGGCAATGAAACAGAATAAAGACAAGCAGTGGAAACTGGCATGAAACAAACAAGCTAATGCTTGCATTTGCTGTTCATTTAATTGAAATTAAGCAGTAATTTTTAATAGATACTACAATTTTGTTCAATCAACGTCTACATACTAACTTCCCCTTAATGTTTAGCGGGCACTTCTCTCCCCAAACTAGTACTGTCAAATATTATTATTATAAAAAATATTGATTAATATTATAAGACAATCGAACTACACAGGACAGCCAGGGCTGGCAATGGCCTGGGGCCCCGAGATGGGGGGGGGATGGGTTCTCCGAGGGCCGCCAATTACATAGTACATTGCAACGACAAATCTGCATTATTTGCACATTCTGTTTTTCACAAAAGTGAAAATAAATGTCTTGTGTTTATTAAATTCTTTTTCTCGATATTATTAATTTACACTTCACATTAAAATAAAGGTAATAAATTTTACCGCGCTGGAGGAGGGGAAGTTGGAGGCCCCATTGAGTATTTTGCCTCAGGCCCCCAGAGTCCCTAGAATGCTTCAGACTATACAACAGCTGCAACAAGTGTGTTAAATTATATAAGAGACAAATACGTACTGTGGAGTGTGGCTGAAGGTAATGAGGTATGGTGGCGGAGGTGGGCGAGACACTCGTGTCAGGTGAACGGCCCATCTATCAGGGCGATCGATACACGCTGACAGCGGGACTTTGAGTGCGTGCAGCCAGCAACGCGTTCAAAGAGCAGCGCAGCGCTGGCAGCGCCGTCACGGGGGAGAGTAACTCGGTCTCTGCGGGGAAACGGGGGGGTCGCCGCACTTCTAATTTACAGTGACTGGGGACATCAAATGGACATCATAATCTAATGCACTAGGCAATTCTTCGTGTGTCTCATCTCACCGCACTGGACATGAAAGTCTGAAACTTGCCTGAAATAAGTTTCATATTTAGCTGCTGTAACACATATATAAATTTTGCCGATATGTATAAACAGGAGAATTTTAGTCTTTAATTTAAATGAACGCAGTGGAAATCTATCAGCTTGCGGGACTTGAGCGGTTGCAAAACAAATGTCACGGCAGGGTTTACCAAGCGTTGATGCTGTGAGTGAGTGACAAGGAAAGCCGAGAGCTTGTGTGTGTGTGTGTGTGTGTGTGTGTCGGGGGGGGGGAGCTTTAAAACAATTTGAACTTCACTGCCCACAATCCCCCCCGATATCACAACTGCCTCACCACCGCCTGCAGCTACTTATTGGCCACTATAGCCGCGATTGGTCAACTTCATCCTCTGATGTCAAGACCCAACGTGGGCTCGTCCGATTTCTATTGGCTGTAACATCTGTGTTTTTCCGACCAATAGGGTGGCGGTAGATACGTTGAAGCGGCGGTGGGCGTTTAAGGTGGCGCGGATAGTTACGCGCTTTGTGCCTGTTTTAGTCGTATAAGACTTGCTATTTTCTTACAAGGTGTCGATTTGTGGCTCTTTACTTTGTTAACATGTTGGCAAAGTTAAAAATGTAAAGTTTGACTGAGATAAAGCGGGGTAACCCGCTAATACGAAGAGTTTTTCACGTCGTAGGAAGAGTTCTCAATTAAACCACGTAATTTCTCTAGTACTATACACATAGCCAAAGCAGTAGTCGTAATTGACTTTGTGGATTTATAGCATTTATAGTTTACCGATTTTTAATAATATTATTAATGTTCATGAGTGGTTCAATATACGAAACATTATGTTCTTCCATCTTGATATCGCTTCTCCTGATGAAGGTCGTGCTTTTACGGCACCTTTTTTTTTTTACTAAAAATGTTGTGCCTGTTTCTTCGTACAAGTAAACTATGTTCATTGTTCCACAGAGTACCGCACAAATAGGTGTGTTGCGGACGGTGAGCAGAGTCTCTCCCAGGATTAGCAGGTTTCTGTTCATTTAGGTATCTTCGCCCGCACACTGGACACAATGAAGACAACATTATTAATGGTCCCCATATAGTGAGGTATTGAATTCCGTGATTAAACTGAAATGTATTGTCGACTACCTGCTAGTTCTATTTCTTCTAATATAAGGCATATAATAATTCACTTAAATGATATTTGTAATACTTGAATGACACAACAAATAACACTATGACAATACGGTTCCCATAATAGGTAATTTTCCGCCATCGCACGTGAGGATTGAAGCTCTGCTGGATTATGTGGCCTGAGGACACAAAAATGACCTGAAGATGAATGGCGTGCAAGAGATGCCAATTAACAGAATAGATGTAGGACTTTGCCCTGCAGTGCACAAACATTATGGAGACATTTTTTTTTTTACATGGCTGGCTGATGTTGACTGGCGTAGTTCATAGCAAAACAAGAGATTGTTGTGTAGTTCTAAAAATACCACCAGAATTACTGTAAGGGTCCTGTTAACAGAAGGTCAATGGAAGTTGAGAAGCATTCACTGTTCATTTGAAATGCACTTTCCTTTTATACAAGGCTGATTTTTTTTAGCCTGCCCGTGTTTTGCCTCTTCATTTTCTTAACAGGGCATCAAGTTGTGGACATGGCAGACATTTTAATTGGGTGAATGAACAACAATGGAGAAAAACAGGAATAATAGTGACAAAGACTCCACCGTTACGGCTGAGGGTGTAATTAAGAGGTTAGCATGTGCCATTGTCCTGGCGGAACCAAAGGACTGGAACAGTCATTAGAGTTTGGATCAGCCAATAACACAGCTATTGTGGCTAGACCCAAACGAATATATTGTTCTGGAACATGCTCTATACAAATGGAATCAGATGTCTTCATTTTGCATTCTCTCTGGACCTGTTCCCATACTGTCCATCTCATTTATGCCACCAGATGCCCAGAAGAAAGACAAATATACTCATATTAAAATCTGACCATGCCCATCAACTGTATAAGCGTAACTGAAAATACACCAATGTATATTTAAACCTACATTCTCATGTTTTATGTTTATCAGATAAATATCATAAAAAGCTTTATGATTAAAATGCTGAGCTTTATTTATAGAAATCATTGGAAATGTTGGATTTATCTAGTATCTATAGCAGTAGTAATTCTGATGGATTGAATCCTTCCGCAGAGATTTAATGCCTTGCAATTGTGGGGTTTTTCAATTTTAATTACAGGTTAAAATTTGGAAATCTTGAACAGTATGTATATCTTGGGACTCTGGGTGTGGGGAGTTGCTAAATAAGATTGTGCTTTTTTGTGTCCTTTTCTCGGCTGTACTTTTGGGCCGTGAATATTTAGAGTAAATTTCAGTAGAGGCGGAATGAACAAAGCAAACTTCGTAGTGGGTGTCTCGCTCACTCGCTTTCTTCTGTCTCCTCAGATGGTGTCAGTATGCACAATGCACTGAGAGCGGACAGTCAAAGCGAGCGAACAGAGGAAGTCCCACTGCGGCCCTGAAGCCTGTCTCACTGCACTGCGCTCGTTATCGTAGTGAGATGCTGAGCAGGAGTTGTGAGAATAATTACCTGTCTAATGCTTGCAATTAGATGTCATCAATTAGTGCTACTCCTGACTTGAAATTATTGGGGTGGGAGGGAAAGGTAGGAGGTAGCGGAACAGCAAGTGTGATTTGGGATGGGAGAGAACCATGGGTGGGTTTGGAGTAGGGGGAGTACTTGGTCTTTTATGGGATAGAAATGTACAGAGCTGTATGGCCATTCACAGAAGTGCACTGTAACAAGGGGCAAAAGTGATGAAAAATCTTCTAGAATCTTGGAGATGCATATTGATTTGTAACTTCAATATGTTACATAAGTATGATCTGGGTGTGGAGGAAATGTAACATTAGTGAGAGAACCGTCCCCATAAAGGTTAAAGAAAATGACCTCCTAAGGCTTTTGTGGAAAATGTCAAACAGAAAGTTGTGTGACTTGGGTTTTTCTCCAGAACAAAGGGTCCGGCAAAATGCCTGGATGTCGTGGCGATCAACCCCTGACAGCGACACTGTCACTGCGGGGTGGGGCCGCTGGGTCCGGCGGGATTCACGCCTGGCGTATCAAGTTCAGCAGAGCTGCCGTCCTAAATAAACAGCCATTAGGGACGAGCAAACAGCGAGAGCCAGCTGGTCAGGCCGCCTCCGGAGAGGAAATGGGACAAAGCGCTTAAGTGCAAAGATTCCGTACATTCTATTTCCGAGGTATTTTGCGAATACCTAGGATGAACCTTCAGAAGACGTTCTACTACTTCAGATGTGCGTTTTTGTCTGCCTTTCACATAGACCCGTGGCTTTCAACTTGTGGTTGAAAACATCTACGGGTGTCTGTTAAAGAGTTTAATTTCACTCACGGATTTTCTGTGTCTTAATGTTCGTGTGTGTGTCATGTGCTTGTGCTCAATACCCCCGGACCTGATCGGAGCTGACAGACAGGCAGCCCCATGGCTGTCTCCGTCTCCGCGGCTCCACCTTAAGTGCAGCCGTAGCAGTGTTTGTGTTGGAGCCAACAGGCACAATATATTACAGTCTAGGGCTTGCTGCTGAAAAGCTTGCTGGATCTTCTAGTGACCTGCTGTTCTTTCCTGCTTTCCTGCATTTTTTCCCTTTTGGATTCAAATTAAAAACAGTTCTTGGTCTCTCTTTGCTTTTTTATTATTTTTTTTTTCCAGCAAACCCCGAAACCACCCCCCCCGCCAGCTTCACGCCCCCCCCCCTCCCTTAATGAGGAGGAGCGGTAGAAACAGAGAGGAGTAGGACTGTTGGTAAATTTTGGATGGAGGGACGTGTTTATGTTTGTGTCCTCTTGGTGGGGGTGGTGAAAGGCTAGGCGAGATGGGAGGGGGCACTTACTACTAATTCTCAAGTGTACTTTGCTGCCATGGTAATGTATGGGAACCCGGACTGACAGGCGGAAGACCGGGAACAAGAGTGTGACTTCGGTTTTCCGAAGACAGAAGGGAAGAGAGAGAGAGAGAGACAGAGAGGGAGAGAGAGAAAAAAGTGTATTCAAGAGGATCTGATTTACGATACCCTCGTTACACTTCTGTTCTGGAGTGACCCAGAAGAATCGGAGCTCCAGGTTCACAGCAGAGGATTTCCCCAAGGGTGGAAGTAAGGGGTTTGCTGGGTGGACTGGAGCTGGTCCTTCAGTGGACTCTGGCATCTCTTCTGCTTGGACCATGTACCCACAGGGACGACACCCGGTAAGCACACCCTCCGTACAGTCACCTACCAAAGAGTGAGATCTGCACAAAGAGTAACGAGAGATCACTCTGAGGGTGACGGAGTGTTAGCGGTGAACGGCTCGACTCTGAGTGTGATTACACCTGTTTGTCAGCCCTCTTTATCTTGCCCAGCATAAGCGATCAGCTCCTGCTCCAGTGTCGCTTTGACCAGCTGTTCTTGAAAGCCGGTTTCCAGTTATGTAGGTGGCTCTCTACAGCGCCTGTAGCTTGTGTTTGTGCTCAGAGTGCAGCAAAGGGCAGGATCTCACCTTCGCCGGAGCCTCCAGAGTCTCTGGTCTCGGGGGCGTGTAATCCAGAGGAGTGACGGGAAAATAGTTAGCCGCTAATGTTGTAGACGGGAGTTAATGGCCTGTACGTAATTAGCCTGTTTATCTGGTTGAAATGGATCACCGAGAAGTGTGAACTGTTTCACTGCCTCATGTTTTAGATGAGATTGAATTATAAAGTCTTGAATTTTGTAGTGCGCTAAGCCAGTCTTGAAAACTGTAGAAATTAGGCAGTTTCTAAGCAGCGCGAAAAAACTCACAATAGGCAGTAGAACAGTGTAACTGAGAAGCATGCCAGACGTACCTTTCTTCACGCAACATGCGAGTCTAATTCAGCTGGCATTCGTTAGCAGCATTTGCTAGTCTGGCTTCAGATAGATATTAAGGACGACCAGGTATAGAGTAAGTGGAATGTGTAATTTTCTGAAAAGAGGGAGTGTATAGAAGACCTGGAAAAACCTTTTCGAAAACATCCTTGTGTACAAATTATTGAGGTGTCACAACACTGTGTTTGATGCAGTTTGTGTGTGTGTGTGTGTGTGTGTGTGTGTCCCTGCGTGTGCGGTTCTTCACCTTTAACTCCTTGAGGTAATAGATTCAGGACCTGGCATTGAGTCCGTGTTTTGCCTGTGTCTATCATTATCCTGTTCTTGATATATCAAGCATAACTTCTGTCAAGCTCGAGTTAAATGTATAGCCTGAGGTGCATCTCTTATTAATGGTAAAGTCTGGCAATGTAAGATATTTTGCATAAAGGTACAAATGGCAGCGGACTTTTAACTCTGGGACCATGTGACTTGATTGGACAAAAATACATTGTTGGAAATAACAAGTCAGTAGATGTATGAAGCCGCATGGATGTCCTCGTTTTTCTGTGGTGCCTTCAGGAAAGGGTTAAGACTTGATTGCACGGCAAACAGCTGCAGGACTAGTAATTAGTTCCACTGGATTTTTGTGGTTAGCGTTATCTAAAACAGGGCCTGCGCACTGCAACGCTTTGCCAAAAACAATAACAATAAGGGGGGCCGTCGGGGGGGGGGGGGAGTTGGTTGTGAATGCATTAAGTGCCACGCCTAGAGTTTAAACAGTTGCGAAATGCAAACTTACAATGGCCAATAAGCATCCCCAGACACTGGACCAACACTAGATGCTGCAGTAGAGGTTTGGAAAACCCTCAGTGTTTATTTAATCTCTGCTGTTTTACATGACCAGATGACTTGTCAGAGGCCATCTGACTTCATGGAAAATTACCACCAGACAACGGCTTTGTTAAAATGACGCCCCGGTCAGAGGAACTTCCAGCTGAAGTCCACGCGGATTTGCACACCGCGACTTTGCCGTGCGTTAAACAGGACCGACGGGGTCCTCTCAGAATCTGTTAGGGCTCCGCGAACATGAAGCTGTTGGGAAATCCTCGTGAGGATCATGAATCCCCCCGCTGCCCGCTGGCCTTCTTCCACGTCGGCACCAAGAGAGTGCGAGAGGAAGCGGGAGAGCGGCAGGAGATGAGGGGAGATTGGGAAGATCGGGAAGCAGGAAGGGGTGGGAAAGGACTAAATTAGGTGGAAAGGAGGGCAACGTAAAAGCTTCGGAAGGGGTTATACTCGAGGGCAGACCAAACTGGGGAAGAAGGCCGTGTTTCCGCAGAGTAGTCCTTGTCATTCCTGGTGATAGAATGCGTCTGGAGAGTGTTTATCTGAGCAGGAAGGAGCCCTGATCTGCTGGGGGTGCACTGGGAGAGGGGCTCTGGGATGGACTGGCTTAGGCTCTGCCTGTCAGAGAGCGTTTGATCTCCAAAAAGACTGCTGATGCAATTCCTCTCTCTCTCTCTCCTGCTCTCCCATATCACTTTAAGCCTGAGAACCACCAAAAATAAACAATAAAAAAATAATTAGTGCTGTGATGGCTATCAGCAACTCGGAGAAGCATGTGCAGAACGGCGGCTCTCTCTCGCTCGCTGTCACTTAGCGTGTGTGTGTCTGCTGTTTGTGTGTGTCGCTTGAGCGGCTGCTAATCCCCCAGGTGCCGTACGAGAGCGTCGGGCTCGCTGGGCCTGTGTGGACCTCCTTCCTCTTCTCATCTCCATGTGACACACCAGGTGAAGACAGCAGCTTTTTTGTAACTTAGCTCATTTTACTCTAAATCCCAAGATTTATATCAGAAAAGTGTGGCTGCTATACCGGGACTGACATTTACAGTGACAGAGAGCTTTCTATCTTCTGAGTTCACAAATTTCCCATTAACAAAGGGGGGGGGGGGGTGTTGTGTGTTTTTGCGTGTACATGCCTCTGCATTTATGTCTAGTTCCTGTACAACACAACTCTCTCTCTGTAATTCTGGGCTTACTTGAGTGTGTGCTTTAGACGTGGAATTCCCTAAAGCTGCTACACTCCCCAAACTAAACTCTTCTGTGTCACTTTTCAGAACTTTTATAAAATATATCTTGAGAGTATATGTGACTATGGTTTGCGTCCGCCGCGGTGCCAATCCCCCGCTTTTTCCGGCAGTTTCTTTCCTACGAGAGGTTTCTCATTGCCGCCACAATGGACGGCCGCCATCGCAAACTGCCCTTCTTATTGGTGCCTGCTCGTGTGGTTACACTTTTGCTTGGTGGTCTGCGGTACGAGGGCTGAGGCCCGGAGAAGGCGGGGCTCTGTATCCCGTGTCTGTGGGGAGCTGGGGTCTGACCGCACGCGGATTGCGGTGTGGGATTTGGCATCATAATGGGGGGTGTTGACGGGTGGGATGGGAACCAGCGTGACCAGATCCCCCTACTATATTCCTATAATCCTCATCTCGTTATGCCCCTTTTAAAAAAACTCCTCTGGCGGATGATAATTTCACGGCACCCTGGCGTCCCATTGGCCAGCTTAGGTGATGTAACTGGAGCCCCATCCTTGTCCCCTGTCACTATTCTTTCTGAAAGTTGGCTCTCGCTGGTGATTGACAACATGATTGGTGCTTGCAGTTTTTGTTTTTTTTTCCCCCCCCATGCATTCTTTTCGGTCATCCTCCCCACAGATAATCCCTTACAAACATCCTGTGACCTGGTCCGGCTCGCCAAAATCACGAATCCCACGTGGCTTTGTATTATTTTCCTCCCTCGTAGATTAACTGGATCAGTTCGAGTTTCAGGACACCCCGTGCTGTCTAACCCTAAATACAAGTCTAGAGATGGTCCGTCGAGGTCTCTGGCACCTTTATATCGCTGGTGTGTTTGCTCCACCAAGGTGGAAACGCATTTAGAACATAGCTTTCAATATGAATGCATTGTAAAAGACGCAAATGAAATATATTTAATTTAGCAGCTTTATTAGTAGTTAAAGTACAAGCGTGATGCTGCCGCATTTATGAAATGTGTATTCCTGATGCCAAAATGTCCAACTCCAAGGAGAGTAAAATGAATCAGGCCAACACTCACACCCTAGGCAGTATGCAGTGTGAAAAAAAACACAAGCAAATGAAGTCTAGCTCTGAAATGCAGGCAACCGGTCGATTTTACCACTATTCTCAAATGAAGCGGGGGGGGATTCAATGTAGCGTGAATAAAGGTTAGTGGGGAGAAGGTGGCAAAGACCTCTGCGCCCCCCCCTCCCGTCACCCTAGTACTCTGAGCCAGTCCAGGCAGCTCTGAGCCTGCAGCTTAATTACTCGAAAGCCTGCGGAGTGTCTGACCTCCACCGTTAGCCTAATTGGAATTTAATTGAATTTTGCTTGTCTAGACTAATTAGGCTCCTACTGAAACCACCAGTCCTTTAACTGCACAGTGCTGAGCCAGGGAACCCTCAGCCTGTAGGGAGAGGGGGGTGCTGCAGTGCAGAGCTGCTGTATGTGTCAAAGGCCACTGGATGCTATGAGGGCTGTTGGATCATGCAGACATGAGAAATACAGGTCAGGGGGAAGAGCGATGGATTGGCAGGCAATGACAAAAAGTCAAGGGTAAGGAGGTAGTGGGATGAAGCAGTGTTTCCCCACCAGGTCTGTGGTGATCACCACAGTGCACGTTTTTGCTCCCTCCCAGCTCCCGGTCTGTGGGTCCCTGAGGACGGGGTTGGGAAACACTGGGCTAAAACACCAGAGATGGTCACCTGTGTGCCACGAACTGGACACCACATTTACAGAACAAGTTCAAAATTCAATTCATTTCAA